AATATCGGAGAAATCCACCTTTTCACTTTGTAACCTCACCTTCTTAATCATATCTGAAGCATTATCTCTTAAATATATAAAGGAAGCTCAAATTAGAAAATTCCATTCCTTTCTTTTCATAGGAGTAAAAGAAAAGTTACTAACAAGCAGAGGCCAATCACCCTATCTAGCTAATTTATCTTTATCTTATATGAAAATGTTATGTGACATATTCTAGTAAAAATAAAGTACAAACACAGTGAAATCAAGGTAATGCAGACAAATGTGAAGCATCAGGAAAAATGTAAAACTGCCTTGTAATGTAATAATCACATAGAACTTTTCCTCCCAAGGGATCCAAGAGCACCTTACATACAGGAACGGAGTCACGTTATCCAAGTGTAAAGCACAGCACCCACCTGGTGGCCCGTATGTGCCAGCAGCTCCACAGCACAGGAAAAGTGAGAAATTGCTTCACCATCTGAATTATGCGGAACCTTTAGAAGGCCATATTGTACAAACCTAGAGTGGAATTTAGTCAGGACACTAGGGATAACACCCATTATTTTTCCAAAAATTCCAAAGGGCTCTTTAATGACCCTGGCATGAATCCCACACATCACCAAGACGGGTCCTACACTTCAGTTGTGATTGAAGTGGAACCGCTCTTATTCTTTGGGATGAAAATAATTATATACACAGTAAATGCAATTAATTATTATAATACAGAATGTAAGTACTGGTAATTGAAATCCTGCTGAGCCTGAGCTGAACATTCAAGGCTTGAAAGAAAAGCAAAAGCTAGGCATGTAATTAGCAGCAATATTCTGCACAATAATTGCCACTATGTCTCAAAAGGCTACAGGGGATGATGAAGAGAACTGGATCAAAATTCTTTCCAGACTGAAGTGCCTTAGATGTGGGTTTAACTTTCAAAAATGAAAATCCAACACTCAAAACCACTCGTAGATTCTGGCGACTTTTTCTAACATAAAGGCAATGACTTTGTCTCAAGCCAATAAATAATGAAGACATTTTTTATGGGACCAATAAATTATCATTACAAAATCACCATCTTTCATACCAAATATTTTGACTATAAGTCTCCTTTTACCTTCATTTACTACACAGATTCTCTCTTAACAAAGAAGTATCTCAAACACTGATCGTTTTTTTCAACGAGTTGTGGCTGTGAATCAGTACATCACGTCATTGTGTGCTTGCTATTTCAAATGTAAAAAACAGTGCAGAATTATTATTTTAGCACTAGACTTCACTTGACACCACTTTATCCTACTGTAGCATTTGATATGGCAGGTATTCTATTACTGATCAAAGCTTTCTGATGTCCAGTGATCTTATAACATGATGATTAGTGTAGTCACTGTCTGGCAATAACTCCTACGTAAGTGAAAATACATTTTAAGTTATTTTCAAAAATGAATTATAATTTGAATTATTGAGAAATATCTTTAACAAGCCTCTTTGTACAATCCCAGAATAATTTTGTTTACTATTGGAGTGTGAAATTTGCCCAAATAACCAAAATTCATTCATTCAGGGTACTACAGTATTAGTGCCATAGTCCTCCAACCTAAAATGCATTGTCATTCAATGGACTTTAGAAACCTTGGTGTTGTTTTTGACTATGTTGTTATTTGAAGCCCACGTTAGGAATGTCACAAGGATTCATTCTTCCATCTGAGTGACATTGCTCTGTTAAGACCCTTTCTCTACCTTTCTGATGTTGAGATATTGATTCATGCCTTTATTTCATCAGGATTACAGACTGCTTGCAATGCCTTACTTACTAGGGCTTCTACTGAAGTGCTAAATAGGTTTCAGTATGTCCAGAATTCTGCAGCTCATGTACTAACAAGTACTCTGCATCAGCACATCACTCACATCCTCTGTAAATTGCTCTTGCTCCCTGTGAAATTAGAGTGAACTTTTAAGTTCTAGCTCTGGGTAAATTTAAGGAATGTATGTATAAAACTCTTCATTTGAAAAAGACCTTACTCTGCTGAAGAACAGGATAAACACAGTGATAGATATAGTGTGTATTCATGCATTAATCGAGATTGTGACTGTCGATGATGGTGATCTTGATTGTTATTATTATTATTTAAGATTGCTTGGCATGTCATGGATATGTCAGTATTAAACAGACCTGCAGTATCACTGCAGTCCCTGCCTGTTTAAATGACCTGAGCAATAGCTAAACTAGCAAAAATAATAACATGTTACATTCATAATAAGGTTTGAAATAAATGTTTAAAATGGAATATTAAATTACGCAGAACATTTAAAAAAAATTACAATGGACATCAGAGGAAAAATTAGATACAGATTTGCTATGGAGTCACCTTTGGAAAAAAATTAAGCCAAGTTTTTTTTTTCCATGGAAAAACAGAAACTGTCTTTATTGCCCATTTGAGGAGAAAACAACAAGATGGTTCTGATTTTGGAAATACAGAATATCCTCACTTGTATTGAATCGTACAGTTACCAGCATGTTGTTGCAAAATTGATAGCAATGAAAAACACAATTAAGTATATAGGAACAATATAGTTTATGAGTTTTCTTCTCAACAATGGCAAGCATGTTAAACATTAGGATGGTTTGTTTAAGATTGCTTGAATTTGAGATTTTTCTTCAGTACAGAGGAAAAAAATGTTTTGGAGGAAGTATCTGCACACTGTTTATTGTCAGTTTATGCAAAATTTTTTAAAGCATTGTAAATATAATTTTAACTTATGCTTACAAAAGAAAAGAGTCACAGCAATATATGAAAATTGTTTTTCTTTTGTGTCTAGACATTTAAAAAGTACATTTGCAGTACTTGACAATTGTATTTTCAAAATTCTTTACTCAATGTATTTCGCTGAAATGTTACTATACTATATAAGTTCCAAGGCTCAGTTTGCTAAACGTTATTTTTCAACTGTAGGTGACAGAATAACTTTACTGAAGGACACAAATGTAACAAGAAACTATCAGCCTCAGATGTCAGTTTAGGCCTGCCAAGCCTTTTTCAGTCATTATAATCTGCAGTCTGGGGTCCCGGTTGATTAATCAAACTGATAGCGTGACAGCCCCTCTACTTTGGTGCCAAAAATCTCACTCCGGCACTTGGTAGCATGCAAGCGTTAATTTCCCAGATTTACTGATAATGACTGGCACATCATTGGGAGAAGGTCCAGAGCTCTTGGCCTGGCAGGGGTTCGTCACCACTCAGTCAGCTCCTGCGAGCCAGTCATTCTTGTGTTCCAAAATAAAAAATCCTCCCCCTGCTACAGCCATCGGATTCTTCATGTGCTGAACATTTGTCATGGCCTTCACCTTCAGTATGACAAGAGGAGTTTCTGCTGCTGGTTAAATTTAACACAAGGCAAAGGTCTGCTTCCCTTGCTGCTGCTAAGGACTGATCTGCAGAGCGACTTTATCGGGCCAAGCTGAGCAGCGCTTTTCAGCATTTAAACGTGCAGCCAGGAAAAATCAACAGCCCTCAGATCGTCAACGCAACGAGCTTTTCATGGTGTGTTCGACGTCGGCTCTGCTCAGTCCACGAGCCCTTTGTATCTTCTCTTTTTCCCCCAATGATGCATATTGACATTATTGAACCAGTCATTTAAACAAACATTTTGGAGTGTTTTGGTTAGATAACTGCTTCATTAATTCAAAGAATGATAAAAGGGTAGTGAATAGTGCAGTACCAGTGTAGGAAAAGTGTGCTCAAGGCTTAGTCAGATCTAAAATATGCAGTGAAAAAAAAGTGTAAAAGGTTTTAGCACTGTAGCACAGATAGTGTTAAGAAATGCCATGTAGAATCCCATGCTTGATAAAGGTAGGAAGTCTGTATTTATTTTGTGAAATGTTGTTGTAATAACCAAACATTATTCCCCATGTGGTATGTTTTCCCTTCTGAACTTCACTTTGCTCTCTGAAAGGAACTAAAATACAACATCCATTAAACTAGATATATTTAATTGTTTATACACATTCGATCCAAATTCGTCCCAAAAATGCACCAGCATCTTTACTGCTAAACTACGGAAGCTTATTAGTATTTTTTTTCTCTGCCCCAAACTATAGCATGTACCCTTTTTACAATTTAGAAGGAAAAATAAGCTTTGTGCACAGATTTCTGTCTGGTTTCTGGTTGATTAAGGAAACCACATACTTTATTAAAAGAACAGTTACACTCACACTTAGGCATTGCAATTCTTATAACTCCTACTGTTTCTATATATACAGTATATATGAAGTGATTTTACAAATCAGAGAACAGCTTTTTTTATAAATCAGTTATTTACACTTTTATTGCAAGTTAAACTTTTGCAGTAACATATTTCATTATTTACTCTTGACACAGACAGTGAAAAGAAACATCTAGCGAATCAAAAACTGTACATTAATGTACATAATTTAAATGACAGAAGACAATTCACAATTCCGTGTTAATAAACCCTAAGGCCTAATAATGCCTAAAATCGTGAATGTAACACAAACGATTGCAAGACATATCTGTTGTGTTTCTTGAATCACAACAGGGCAGGCTATTAAGAAAAGCATACTTAATATTATAGTATGTGTGGGGTGTTGCAGTCAGTGTGGTGTTAGAGTAACATTTGCAAGAGTTATTTAAACATTCTCTGTAAAAGGTATTCCAGGCTCCTAGAATGGTGTTTTTCCTCCATTTCAATACCAGGCTTCCCTTGTCTGTGGCCTTTCCTCTTGTTCAGCATTGCAATCTCTGGGTGCCTGTATTGGGGTCAGAGAGCACTCCTGCTGTGGCTCAATTAACATGGAGAAGAGTCAAAGTGATTGTGTTTCCATCTTGGCCCAGACACTGAGAATGTTACCATACTGTAGAAGTCTTCACACACAAATGCCACTCAAAAGTCATTCTTCACCTCTAAGCCACAGTGCCTGTCTTTAGATCATTCAAAATAATTGCTATCATGCTGGGTGTACACATAGAATTAAAATTTCAGATTTACATTGGCTTATTATTTAATGTGGTTATAAATGCTACAATCAACGGCAATAATTATTACTATTAAGGTTAGAAATAGAAAGTAATTACTCCACGTTTCTGTTAGAACAATGCTACAGTATATGTTCATGTTCTTGTGAAGGCTGTAAAAATGTCACTTCCTTAGGGGAAAAAGTAATTGCATTCTGTACAGTATGTCTGTCCGCATGTGCTGAACTTTTACTTTGGGAACGTATCACAGCTTGACTATGCACCTCACTGACTGCAGCTCCTTTCTGTCACTAAGATTAAAAACAGAAATGAATTGACTTGATTTTAAATTTTGACTGTAAGTCACCTATAATTTACATGAATTACTGCACCGCCTTCAGAGAGATCTTGTTTCAGCAACTTTTAACACAACAGCTGGGGGACAGCTTGCCAGTACTTCCTGTACTCCTTCGTGGAGAAGGGGAGGGGACTGGTTGTAATTTTATGATCTCTTTATAAATACATATTGAGATTACCTTACCTCCTAAAGGGCATAAAGTATACATACAGTGAGACGCTCATTATTTTGTATATTCAAACAACATATTTATGAACTCATAACTCCTCTATATACAAATGAAAGATTTTGTTTAACTCAAGTGCCATTGCTATTTAAAAAAAAAAAACATTTTTGTCCTGTATTTAATCAGGGCTACACTGACTACTGCGTTCTTTCATAAGGGGTGTTTCAAATTCGGTGTGGAAAACAAAGCTATTTATCTTATCTTTTCACCTCGAAAATAAAGGAAGCAATGCATTTTGAAATTATACGTGATTTCTAGCATAAGCTTCACTTTTACATTGTTCCCCACCAATACAGAAAAGGAAACCTATAGTGCTGCAATAATAGCTTTTAGCCTTCTTTTCCTTGTTTGTTCTTGTTAAGAAATCTTTCTAAAAATTAAAATTGAAAACATGTTTTTAACCTTTTTGAAATGGATTTACAGCTATTCTTGAAGTCACGTTTACACCAGAAATAGCACTGCTCTTCATGTACTGATCTTCTCTTAACAGACCCTCCTGGGAGGTCATTTTAGCACAGATGTGTCCAATATTGGTCCTGGAGGGCCAGTTTGTCTCTGGTTTTCTATGTGTCTTTAAAGCATCAGCACTAGAAATGCTGGGAGAAATGTTTTAATTGGTCCAATGAAGCCAGTAATCAGCTAGATCGATGTGGACAAGAGTTGACTTGGAATAAAAACCCGCAGACACACTTGCCCTCCAAGACCAGGATTAAACATCCGTTCATATTGAAAATGTCATCGATAAAGTTCTGACCAAAGCTATTCCTCATTTTAAATGGCTGATCTGTTTGTCCTTTTTCTGCTACTTCAAAGCAAATACTAGAACAAAACATGTACATACAGCAAGGCAATTGTTTTGTCATGAATTGCCACAACGTGTTCAACGTGAATGTCACAGAGCTGTGTTCAGACCATGTGCGCAGGAATTTGAGAGGACGTGCTTGTTAGGCTTCCCAGGGTCCTGGAATCAAAAAGATTCTGCTGTCCACTGCCGAGTATGTGCACTCCCTCCATTGGGGACAACATCTGCCTGTCAGTCATTGTACCACTGGGAGAAGAACCCAGAAAACTGCCCTGCGAGGAGGCAATCTTTTCAGGGCTGGCCGCCAGTCTTGGGGACGTGGAGAAGTTATATCCATATAACCCATAGGGGCTGTGAAGCCTGAAGCTGTTGTATGTTCCATGATGTCCCTGGTTGGCTGAAAAGGCGTTTCCGGGTGGGCTTGGCATTATGTACTGGAGCTGTGGCGATGGCATGCCTGGTATCTGTAAGGGCAGACCAGTCTGTGGGCAGCTGAAGGCATCTCCATCGCTCCCGGGCATGGACACGCTGGCTCCACTCACTCCGGCATAAGAGGGAGTCCGAGGAGCTGTGAAGGTGTCACTGGCGGGGTTGGCTAGCCGGCTGTAGGTCTCGGCTAGAGTGTTGCCGTAGCGGTTCAGTGCCAGTCCTGAGCGACTGCACGCTGTGTACTCAGCAGGGCCGAGGCTGCAGAGCTGGCTGCTGTTGGCTCCCAGGTGGAAGGCTGGGGACGAGCAGGGAGAGGAGGACAGGAGGTGTGTGTGTGTGGAGGATACAGCGTTTCCAGCAGTCTGTAGAATTGCGGGCGATCCCGGGCTTCCTATCCAAAACAGCAGCACTCAGATTTAGAACAACCTGACAGATCTTTCTCTTCAGCACTCACAGAAAACACAGCAAGTAGATGTCTTTACAAGCTGAACCACCCTCGTTGTTATGATCACAATTATTAATCACGGTTTTTAATTAGTAGAAAGTTAATATTGTACAAGATCAATTGCAGTGTTTAAATGTGGAGCGGTCCTGAATAAGTCTGATTTCAAGAAATAAACCTGGACTAACATGATTTCTGAGTTCTGAATTCTTTTTTGTCACTTGGAAGCAAAATTAAAGCATAGCTCCTCACCTCCCTCTACCACTGATCAAAAATGATACAGGGAGGCAATATTATAACTGAATAAAATTAACTAGGGAAAATTATGTTCTTGGCACATGACAATGATACTCCTGTAGGCTTATTTTTACTGGCGTCAGACAATATATTAAAAGCCAAATTAATCATACTTATTATATTTAAAGCCAAATTATTTGTATTAGACTGCAAGATGTCTAAAAGATTTATCTGATTTATAAACTTGTGAAGTTACCAAAATATGAATGTACCTGGTTTAGCAATTCCAGGGATATCTTCAAATGTCAGAGTTCTCAGGGAAGGTCTCCAGAATGCATAGGACTCCACTAAAGCTTCCAAGCCCATTCTAGATTAAAGCAAACACCGGATTATCCTTCTGTCAGATAAATGAGGGAAGCGTGCTTACCTCTTACTAAATCAGTAAAACTTTAGAAGCAAAGTGGTCTGTGAATGGACAAAGAATGAGAATGCCTCCATTTAAAATCCCCCAAAAATATGTGGGGGAAAATGAGAAGTCAAACAGTTCTTGTCAAGATAATAAATATCTCACGCACAGCCTAGATGAATATTTTTAATTTTACTTGTATTCTATTACTTTTTGGGGGTGGGGATCAGGTGTATGAAAGCTTCATTTTCTGTTTATAGACACATATTGACTAGTTACAGTTAATAGGAGATATTATCAACTAATGGAAACAGAAATACTCCTGCAGTCTGGCTGTAGAAGGCCTCTGATATATAGCGAACTGGTGATGACCACCTGACTATGGGCTTAATCAACTGAATGCAGCTTGTATATAGGCTGCACAGAAAAATGGCAATAAAGGTCAGGTAATGAAAAACATCAAATTGGGCTCGATTTGTGACTGCCAACATTCTGTTCTGATATAATTGCTTTCACACTGCTTTTATAGAGGGATCATAGCTATTTTGCAGGAAGCCATAATAAAATATTTATTAGGTGGACTTCAGCTGAAAAAAAAATTCACCTTCATTTTCTTTAGTAATGGGAGCTTTTTTGCTTCTAGTTAGCGTGGAGATAAAAGTCACCTCCTGGAGGGGTGTAGCCAAGGCGATAATTTACACAAGATGCCTTGAATGTTTCCTTCTATTTTATCACCCTCCCCACTTGTGCTATCAAATGGTGTAGTTTATTTAGCAAACTGGTAAACTTTTCCTGTAATATTTAAAGGGGATTTTTTTGTACCTTCCTGAGTTAAACTTTTATAGGGTCAAACGTAAGGGTCTTTCAGAGGTATGAAACCCTATTCTACACCACATAAATTCTCCTTTCCACTGCAATACTCCCTGAGGAGATTTAAAAAAAACAACAAACCTAATGATTTCTATAAAACAGCCTCACAGAACATACAGTTTTAGAAGAGGGCTGTTTTGTTTTTTCAAAAAAACATTATTTATGGAGGTGTTTTTGTTATTTACATTGCACTTTCACCAAGAAGATAATATGTTTACCAGGAAGATAATACAGTATGTGCACTTGCAAGGCATATTTTGTATTCTTGACCACTTTAGAAACCGTTAATCAGACACATTCTCTTTCATAGTGCAAATAAAAGATGTCATCAGCTTTCACTGTATCATTAAAAAGTGCAGCTAATTTTACTGAAACAAACATCACAAACACTCATTCAAAATCCTCAAATAAAGGTTTCATTATCTGGCCATTTTTTTTGTACCCGTGCTTGACACAAGAAACAGAGCCCATTTCAGAAACATTTGCTGCAAACGGAAATTTACGTCTGTTGTTATAGAGCATTTCCAGATCCCATGTGGATTACATTAAACTAAAGGTTCCGCACATTAAAGGCGCAAGTCGGGTATTAATTGTGACTCCCAGCTTAAAAATGCATTGCATTCTCTCTAAGTCTTTATTTTAGCAAGGGACATGCGCAAATGCTAATTTAATAAAACTTCATTTATGAATAACATTTAAGATCAGATACTTCTTGGCTTTTGACAAATCAGTACTGTGCTATATATGCTTCTATAGTTGGGTTAAGACCGACAGTTGTGTAGGAAACATGATAGCTGATTTTCACAATGCTCAAACAACTTTCAGCTCACCTGTTTCGACCAGAGTCTCGGAATCCTTTCGCAAAGGGGTTTCTATCAATTTTTAGTCGCGTGATCTGAAACACAAAACAATGATGGTGGCAGATGAGGAGTATTTTGAACCATTCATTGGCAGAATACTAAAACAAATGACAAATCAAGGAAATTATACTCATTATACAAATACAGATGCCATAATGAAATAGATACCAGTGTGGAATAACTACCTGTTGTTCTGGAACTGTACATAGCATGGGCAAAATAAAAGGATAATGAATAATTTGCAGGGCCACCCTTAGCTCACTGCAGATTAGCAGGCCATGCACAAATAATGAGAATTAAACCAGACAGTTTGAGCCATGGGGTTGCAGCCTGTTCCACACTCGTAGTTTCTATTTCCTGCTGGAAAACAGCTTTAGAGGGATGCCTTCCCGAGAACTGGTAAAGCAGTGAGGTTCACATCCAGTGACCGACCAGGCCATAGACAGGTTCTGATGCCCTGACCCTGTTTCTGTTATTCGTGTTGTGCATGTGGAGCATCCTTCGATCCAGCACATCAAGAACATTCAAAAGCACCTTCTGCTAGTGCACATTAATGAGCCTCTGCACACAAAAAAAAGCATTTTTTATGTAGATGGAAAATTATGTCTCAGATCACATTGCCTTTCTAATGCAAAGACTGAAGCATTAAAGATCATCTGTTAGCAACCAAATGAACACAATGGGTTGATCACCCTTCTCTCACTTGTAACATTCTCGTGTTATTTGTGATTGAAATCCAGCAGTTTTATTTTCTCTCTGACAACAAACAGTAGCAACTTGCTTTTTTCCCCAGAAGAAAACCATATAATGCAAGAGAATTTACAAGTGAACTAGGGGTGTTTTGAGATTATTAGAAAGTTACCTGTTGATTCTGGTATGCTGTAACAGTAGTAAAAACAGTTTCAGGGAAGGAAAAGGCCTTAACTCCTTCTCCAACTGGGACAGATTTCACTGGCGAAAGATCCTCACCACACTCTTTGCGAATAATATGCACCCTGGGCTGATACTTGTGCATTGAATGGAGGATGATCTGTAAATAAAAGAAAAAGTTTAATTTTATTTATTGAATAGGATAAGTGAAAAGCATTTCAAAAACTGATTCACCGCAGTTGCTGATTGTATCTAAACAATACACTGTTGATTTTACAGTTCAACTGTGCTTCATAATCCTGCTTCAATTACTGTCGGTTTTATGTCTTTGAAAAAACATTCATGCTGCGGTTTTCTAATTCACTCCATTGTTAAATAGTTGCTTTTTTATGCTGCATCATGATGTGCAAGCCTGGATTATTATAGGTTTACAGTCCCTAAAGTACATAAAATGTAAGCAAAGACATTCATAGCCTATCCTGATTGCAGTTCTAAAGTGTTAATTTACTTAGGTATGTAATCTGTGTGAATTGTGGAAAACTGTATTTAAGAAAACCCCATTTTTAAATAACTCACAGAAAACTCGTTTCTTCATAACAAATACAATTTAAGGACATAACACAAACTGCATTTAATAACATTTTGCTTTTGTAAAACAAAAAAGCTAACTTCATGGTTCATTCAACACCACACTAACATTAATATGTAAATGTAAACAAAAGTCTTGTCTAAACATATTTGTTTTAGCATTTTACATGAATAATATGTTATTAATTGTTAACTTTACCATGAAATCATATTCTCACTGATTGCACGTGGTTGCGTTTAGTTTTTTTTAATTTATTTTAACACAGTTGTAGAGATGGCTTAGTGGCAAATATTGGTTGCTTTTGTTGCCCGACATATTTGTTTTATAACATCAACTTGTGAAATTATTACACATTATTACACATAAAAAATAAACAAAAATATACATTAATAACCGCTTACATGTCCCTGATCATCCAGTTCGTTATTGGTGAGTTTCAGCTTGTCAAAACTGATGACCTGTCGCATCCACGTCTCTCCTGATGCCGGGGAGTCAGGATGAATGTACACCCTTGGTGGTACAGGCGAATCAGCATTTCCTGCTACCATCCACTTGGAGCTGTGATAAACGTACCTTCAAACATACAAAATCGAGAAATTCACAAATAAACACCAGGGAGGCTCCTGTATAATATACTCCTCTATGAAAAGAAAGAAACGCCCAGTGAAACCCGAAAATCGTTACTGTGCAATCCTGAAAGAGATCGGGAAAAACAAGTGACAGGGAAATACGTCAAGCAATATAATAACAACAGAAAATGTTTGTCACAAATCCATCAGAAACGCAGCTGATTTCGGTCCTTTTCTTTTTATTGTTAATGCGGCATTAATTTCTACTTGTTCACAACGGTGATGGTAGATTTTCGCAATAGTTCATTCCAAATTAAATGTTTCACATGGCACTTACTGTATGTAGTTAATAGCAGGAAGAAACATTGTTTACGCCAGTGTATGACCCTGTTTCTTTAAATGCAGGATTCCAGTTACCTGTAGCGTTTGTTGTCCACGGGAATGATGTCCATAGCGATGTAATATTGCTGATGAGGGTCCAACCCAGTTATCTTTACGCGCATTGCAGGAAACATCCGCCTATTGCCGCAAGAAATAATAGTAAATTACATAACACTGTTTCAGCAGTCAGTCTAAAAGCCTATTACCAAACGATAAGAGTAAAATCAGTTAAAGAACCTTGGAAAAACATAAGTAATATATTTCGCTCTGTAGGACTAATTGTCAAATATCACTAGAACCTAAATATAAGCGTCGTGGTAACAATTCCATATTATAAGTGTCTTACTATTGTAGCATTAATATTACCAAGCCTAATAATACATTGCCGTGGTAAAAGCAGTAGTGTTTTTTCGTTACGAAAGATTTGAAACATATAACTATAATTCGAATTAATTTATTTTGAGGAGCGTTAAATTAACAATAGTAAACATTTTTATTTAGCAACGGGCGTGAATTTCCAATAAGCTTGAATTCATATCAGCACGTTTCCCAACATCCTTTTTCAAGCAATGTTTATGTGTTTGAGAGGACTTTTTCCCCCCTGAAAATGTAATTCACCAATAAAACACGCAATATTTAAAACTGCACCAATATTAAAACTTAATTGCAGAACTGGTGCATGTTTTCAGAGTTTTCATCCTACCTTCCGGCTTTAGTAATGATCATTTCTGTGCCGATCTCATGAAATCGCTTCCACAAATCTGATCCTTGAAGATCCACACGGATCTCCTCTGTGGCTCCCGAGTCTCGCTGAGACGGAATCAGAGAAGCTGCGGACAAGGAAGAGGGTCGTGGACTCTCCGGCAGCTGGTCCTCGCACTCATCTGCCCGATGTGAGACAGACACACATATACCAAATCTATTCACCTCCAACTGAAGGGCATTTAGAGAAATGGTTGGTTTTATTTGGTTTTGGGATCAACAGATAAGTACTTGTACAACTCCAACTCAACTAGTTATAGAGTTATTAGTAATAATAGAGTAGTAGTGCTAACCATTGCAATTTAATAAGTATTCTAGTTATTTTAGATTTATGGAAACACTGCCTCATAGACAATCTAGGCCACTGGCCAACCAAAATACACAATTCAAAAATACCTATGGATATAATAAGGTTGGAAATACACACACATTAAATTCCGAAAAATTAAAAAAGTCATTATTATTATATGCAATCTCAAAGTCTCTCCATGTATTTTAATTTACAGCAATCAGAAAGAACAACTCTACAAATTGCGACACTCCTTAACGAAACGTTTCTGCAATGGTGTAAGTGATGTATTCTCTTGTTTGAAATTATTTCATACTCTGATTTTTTCCCAAATTCACACATTTCTAAAACATTCATTTCACTGAAAATCAAAAGGAACTAGACCAAATTTAATCTACGGTACTCTGCATATCCCAAATCCAAATTTAAATCTCCGAAGTTTAGGAGATATTTATGCAAGTTTCCAAGAATAGCACCAATCCCGTTTGTAATTCCGAGAACGATTTTTTAGAAGTAATAGCAGTACTCATAGCTTGTCTGGAAGTAACATACAGCATACAAATGATAGAACAGCTAGGTATTTGTATTTGTATTTGTATAACTGTTACCCTATGTTAGAATATTCATAGGTGTAGAAGCTCCTTCTATATTTCCAAAATAGCTGATGAGTATATTTAACTGGATGCGGATCGAAAAACAAAATCTTTGTCTATTAAATAAGGTTCTTTATTTCTTTTTCGAGAAAATGGATTGATAGGAAAATTCGTCTGACATGGGTATAAAGGCAAAAGAGAAGCCAATGGTAGTTATAAGACTAAAGGAGCAAGAGAAAACAACATTTACAACAGAGCAACAGTGTTCGGATAGAAAATGTATATTTGATCATTACAAATCGGATGTAAAACTTACGAGATCCGTCACTTGTGCATTCGTTTTCACTCCCGCGTTCGCTGGCGCTAGTCCGGTCGGCTCTGTGCTGCGGGCTTTCATTTGGATTCGAAACTTCATTCACCTCCTCGAAACAATCTTGGCTGTCCCCTTCTAACTTTCTCTTCTTTTCCGCCCCAATAAGGGCTTCGACCGAGAACGCATGAGCCTTTAAACTCATTGTGCACGGCGATCTCCTTTTCTCCGCCATCCTTCAATCCGGAAAGCGCAAAAGCCTGTCAGTTGCTAAAAACTTCACCCAATCGTTTAGGCTTTTTTGTAAGTGCATCCAGCGGCTCTGTGTAAGTTTTACTCGCGTTACTCGGAGTTCCCACTTGTTAACTGATCGCTGAAAAGTGACATTGGTTGCAAGCTCTAACCGGGCAGGAAATAAAGACAGTACTCTCGCTTTTGAAAATTGTGGTCTAAATCTGTCCTCATTTACAGACAGAGGAGCAGTGGATGGGATTTGATCAAGTGTCAATAACCCGGAATCAGGGGGAAGGACTCCGGCATGCCAATCACTTCTATCGTTTGCCAATAGAAAAGAGTGCTACCACCCCTTTAACGTGAATCTCCGACCTTTTATGGTAAAGTGGGCTTGGCAAATGAATCATTCTTTCAGTGCAGACCTCCAGTCATTCTTAAACATTGCGATCATTTTAACACCGCGGTTTCAAATGTTTTGCATATTTACTCATTACTTCCCAAGACACAGTTACATCGACAGGCATTTTTCTCCAATAGCCTTCATATTTCTTTCTGCATACATAACAAAAGGGGGTAAAATGGCGTAAAGAACCTTTGACTATATAGGCCCTTTGTGCAAATTATTATGTCGTCAAATGTTACTGCCGGTACCACACAACTATAATAATCAGACGCAATTAAGAGCAGAAAACAATCCCGATGGTACACAAACATTTTGCATAAATATGAATAAATAAAGGTGAACGTATATCCTCTGTATGTACGTTATTAGATCTATAATACGTAATATTTATTATTGTTAACATGAATTTTGTTATATAAAAGTCTTTTGTCCAAAATGTTCACATAAGTTTTAATTCTTTCATTGATATCTTTCTTATACATTTAATTACTGTAAGGTTTGGTGATTGGCACATTAGAATAAGGAATTGGAAATTAATGTATATTGTTTTTAAGAGTTATTTTAGGCATAAAAGTAACCGAAATGTTGAGGTAAAATGCATGCGTAACTGTTATTAGTTTGTTCATTTTATTGTATGTACGTTGCAGGCTACTATATTATGGAGTTAATGGGAAATAAGAATATATATAGACAATTGAATCACTTTGTTGCTTATTCTCAAATATGTTCAGACATTCTTTCTTGGCTCAAGACAATTGAACTTAAAAAATGATAGTTACAATGAGGTAGTGTCACTCGATCCTAACGTTAAAAACTTCACTATATTATTTATATTATACTGAAATACTGTTAAAACTGTTAAAACGGTGACCTGTAGATAACTTTAAGCTGACTTTTGCAATTGAATTGTCTTGTTCTGTTTTAAAGATATTGGTACGACAATTCGAAATGTCTTTTTTAATGTGCCTGACCGTAATACAATTGTACCAATTCTTTGGAATTTTTTTGCCACAGTATTTTTCTATGAAATCGGTTCTTTGATGACGAGTTATAAATTATGACAAAGTATTTCAACTGTTTTTTCTACCAGACATCCAGACATCTTCACTTCTTTATAGAATTTTACGGTTATTGCAGTTATATCACAGCATATATGAAAACGGATCTTATCAATCAGCGTCGGCAGTCAGAGATATCTCCCGTCTTTTAATTATCTTCGTTATAGCAATGCAGAAATATGCTTGTGATATGATTTAACAAATCAATAGATACTAAATTTAAAAACAACATACGCGAGAAAGCTGTACTTGAAATTTAACTTAATTTGTCGCATATTAATTGGATAGTTAGAAACAATTTAAGGATCAACTGTAATTCATGAATGTATTTTAATTCGTCATGACATTACAGTTTTTGGTCGAGAATTACGTCGAGTTAAAATTTTATCCACATGACATTTCCTGCATATACAGTAAGCACATCATGGGCAAGTACTTCAATTTTGAGGTAAGATCAATGATAAATGACACTTAATCCTTCATGACACACTTTTAGCATTTGCGGTCTACAACTTGCGTTCTCAAATATATTTGATAAAAAACTGCACTTCGTTTCATAGATATTTATTAGATATGTATATCATTTTTAAGAAATGCTGAAAAAATAACCCAGAGAAATGAATGGGTGTATTAAAACAGAAAACACAGCATTTATAACCACATTCTTTTAGCGTCAACGCACCAAAACAAACAAACAAAAAATGAAAAGGACTTGGAATACTTTTGACTGGTGTATAATTATATTTATTTAGCATATTATATGATATCAGTTATTAAAGTTTTAAACTAGT